TCCTAGAGAGTGCACATGCTCACTATACGTACCTCCAGCCCTACAGAGTGCACATGCTCGCTATACGTACCTCCGTTCCTAGAGATTGCACAGGCTCGCGATACATACGTCCATTACTAGAGAATGCACATGCTCGCTATACGTACTTCCATCCCTAGAGATTGCTCATGCTCGCTATACGTACCTCCATCCCTACAGAGTGCACATGCTCGCTATACGTACCTCCGTTCCTAGAGATTGCTCATGCTCGCTATACGTACCTCCATCCCTAGAGAATGCACATGCTCGCTATACGTACCTCCATCACTAGAGAATGTACATGCTCGCTATACATACCTCCATCCCTACAGAGTGCACATGCTCGCTATACATACCGCCATCCCTACAGAGTGCACATGCTCGCTATACATACCGCCATCCCTACAGAGTGCACATGCTCGCTATACATACCGCCATCCCTACAGAGTGCACATGCTCGCGATACGTACCTCCATCCCTAGAGAATGCACATCCTCGCTATACGTACCTCCGTTCCTAGAGATTGCTCATGCTCGCGATACGTACCTCCATTACTAGAGAGTGCACATGCTCGCTATACGTACCTCCATCCCTATAGAATGCACATGCTCGCTATACGTACCTCCATCCCTAGAGGACCAAAGACTACCAGGAGAGGCGGTAGTTGTTGTGGTCTGGCGGGCATGAGGCCACTCTCGGCGACAGAAAGACTCCACAATACGAGGAGAGCTTGTGGAAGCCACAGTAGTATCATTCCTGTCACCAGCCACAGCGACATCTGCAAACAACTCAGTCAGCACCTTCACAACAATATGAGCCAGTTTAAATTAAAGACACTGCATCGACGGTTCTGAGAGTGAAATATTAAAAATCTTTCCAGCATTCCTCAAAGAGACTGAAAACCTTTGTGGATGTATGAGGTGAAATTGTAGACTCCAGAACTATATATTTTAGTGTTATGTTTGGCAGTAGAGGCACACTTTACGTAACACACATTGAAGTATTCAAACTCTTAACAATAGAAAGTTGGAAATGTGTGTGATAATTTGAAATGTAAACAGCATTCTCACAAAGTCACCTGAAGCCAGAGAACAGTGTATTGCATGTAACGTTTCTGTGTTTAGCTGTTTTCTGAACTCAATTATTTCCCACGGAATTAGTATTGTTTATACGTTAATCTCATACGAGATGTAACTGACATTAATTATTTATCGACTTTAAATTCAGACCTACCAAATATAAACGAACCTTTATCGAGATAACTCCGTGTATATTAAAGCGGTAATTTGTAGATTTTACATTACAGTCGCTCTACCGTTCATACAGTTAAAAACGTACGTAAGCTATTCACGACTAACTGAGCACTTTTTAAATCAACCTTTGAAAAATGTCACTGACACCTGCTTAAATGTTAACTAGCACAGTGACTGAACAAAGTGACTTGCGCAGAAACTGGCATGGTGACTGGCACATAGACAGGCACAGAGACTGTCTAGTGACTGGCACAGAGACGGGCACAGTGACTGACATGTATATAGTGGCATAGGTACTAGCACAGAAACTGTTATAGATAATAACCAGTGGCTGGCACAGTGACTGGCGCAGACTGGCATAGTGACTGGCTTAGTGACTAGCACAGAGCTTCGCATAGTGACTGGCACAGTGACAGCCACACAGATTGGTGCAGACTGGCATAGTGACTAGCACAGAGACTGGCACAGTCACTGGTAGAGTGATTAACACAGATACTGGCATAGGTACTGGCACATATACAGGCGCAGAGACTGTCTAGTGACTGGCACAGAAACTGTCACAATTACTGGCATATATGACCGGCTGATTGACCGGCACATATACTGTTACATTGACTGTCACAGAGACTGGCGCTGGACACATATACTGGCATAGCGACTAGCACAGAGACTGGCACAGATAATGCCACAGTGGCTGGCACAGTGACTGACACAGAAACTGATATAGCGACTAGTACAGAGAGTAGCATAGTGAATGGCACAGAGAATGGCACTGTGCCTGACAAAGATACTGATATAGTGACTAGCAAAGAGACTAGCACAGATACTAGCACAGTGACTCACACAGATACTGCCATAGTGACTAGTACAGAGACTGGCACAGTGACTGAAACAGATACTGCCATAGTGACTGGAAAAGTTTCTGGCACAGTGATTGGTACATTGACTGGTATTGTGACTGGCATAGTGACTGGCAGTGACCGGCACAGAAACTGGCACAGTGACTGACACAGCGACTGACATAGTGACTAGTACATAGACTGGCACAGTGACTGGCACATATACTGTCACAGAGATTGGCACATATACTGTCAGAGTGGCTGGCACAGTGACTGACACGGAGACTGACATAGTGACTAGTACAGATACTGGCACAGATACTGGCACAGTGACTGGCACAGATCCTGACATAGTAGCTAGTACAGAGACTGGCACAGAGACTGTCACAGTGACTGACATAGTGACTGGTAGAGTGACCGGCAGAGTAACCGGCACAGGGCCTGGCGTAGTGACTGGCACAGAGACTGGTACAGATACTGGATCAGAGACTGTTACATATACTGGCATGCACCCAGTTATGTTGGTAACGACTGAGGGGTATATTAACGATGAATTAACAGTGTTATATAAACACTTGTGAATACTGGAAAGAATGACTTTGCTTACTATGTTTTTAATGTGTATACATGTAAGAAGTAACATATATGTAAAATACTTTTTTAAAATAATTCCACAGTTTTTCTTGACTGGCGCGTGAATAAAATGCTCGAGGCCTACAGAATTGTTGATTCTTGGTATGGTAAAAGACTACACAATGTACCTGCAAGTAAATCTTTAGCAGATCTCTTCAAAGTAATTAGTTTACTGTGAACAATCCGCAGTTTTAATTAAATAAACCAACATTCCTTCTGTGCGTGAAATACCAATTGCCCCTTTACAGTGCCACACAGAAATAAATAATTCTAGTCGTTCCAAAGGATAAATACTTTGTTCGTGACTGCAACAGTATCGGAGTAACGCTGTGTAATTTAACGAGACGAGTGTTCGAACTTTACGTGATGGCAACAACAGTGAGGCTACAGAACACAGACTCCTCTCATTGGCCGCTGTTTTCTGTTACGTACAGTGTAGCCCCTTGCAGCACCATGTCCAAGCATTGGACACTATGAACGAAAAATTCGTGTATTCCTTTCAGGACGAGCTAGAATTCAAACTCTCGTACTTCTGAATTGCTTATGCTATCGACCCAATCGTTGACACCTTACAATGTACATCGTATTCCACTGAAACATCAAGCAACAAATGAACTGTGATGTTTGCATGATTTCAAACAAGACTGGAGTCTAGCCTACAGGTTATTGAACTCGCGAATTTTTCTTTTCACCAACTACGACTGAAATGGTGAAGTCCATGTAGGTGATAGGGAACTCGCCTCCCAACAAGATTAACCAGGTTACATTCCCGGCGGGGTCCCGCCCATATTTTCGCATGCTGGACGATACTGCTGGTCGGTGGGTTTTCTCGGGGATATTCCGTTTCCCCCGCCCTTTCTTCCCGGTGCTGCTCCATACTCACCTCGCTTCACCCTCATTGGCTCTCAAGACTTCAAGACATATTTTTCACTCACTCCATTGATATAATTATTTCTCGTGACAGATGCTAGGTAAATGCGAGCCTTAAGTCATGTATTATACCAGGTTGAGAGCGCTGAAAACTGCGCTGGAACATGCTAACCTTGTCCAGACGGCGTTGCTCCAGACGACTCTTGAGAGCTGGAGAGGAGGTCTTAATTGAGGACAGGGACACCCACACACCGGACACACTGTTGACAACAACACAAGAGTCACTCGGCTGCTGAGATGTTGGGAAAATTGTTGTTAATGCAGGAGAGCGCCTTAACATCTCAACGGTAAAGTGAGCACTTTAGAAATCATTCTGTGAAGGAACTTCACTTGCTGTTAGCCGCATACACCGGCACCTATCCACACAGTTATAAGTTACCAGCGGTCCGACCATAGTACTCAGTCTCGACACCTCGCCAGCGTTATGCTTACATTTATGACCAATGTAGTGGGTGAATTTCTTATTTTATATACGCTGGTGTAAGAATTGGCATAAACAACACAACAATTTTACGTTTTCACTTAACTGGCGCATGAATAGGCCAATGTCAGTGCAAATGTTACGAATAGTGGAAGGATACAAAATCAGAAGAAAAGTAGATCTTAAACTGGGCTTTTAGGCGTGCTCACTTCATCCTGAACTACAGTATAACAATTTTCGTCTTTTATCCTTATCAACCTAGAAACATTTACTTAAGTAGTCTTAAGTTAGATATTACATACTCAGTACAACGACGTAAACTCTTACAACTACTTATATTAATACGCTGCAAACTAACTGGAGTGTATGTACCAGTGTGAAATGTTGCATACAAGTAGTTACGAGTAGCGAATATTTTCAAAAGTCGAATTCAAAACCCCACCCATTACAGATTCTTGATCATGCGATTGTTTGAGCGTTTTCCGTATTTTCATTTATGCTGTGTACAAATGTAGTCCTGAACAAATTCAGTGCAGCTCTACCATGAGGAAATAATATTTTCACTTTTATTTAACACACTAATATGGGGAGGTGTTTGTAATAATATTGAAAAATCTATACATTTTATTAATCACGGCTATACATTATATTTGCCTTGTTTGTGAGATTTTATAAACTAAAATAATATTTTCAAAACTGGAGCCAGCAGATGTCTCTTTATATCATTTGGTGAAACTGTCAGTATTAATATTAGATGAAAAATATCCTGAGTGTTTTAATGCCAGCGTGTTTATGCGCAATATTAATAATAACGTGTTAATGATCATACTAATTAACATGACCGTGGATAACAGCATGTAACATCAATAGTATTAGAAACCTACAGATTCGTAGGAAATGTTTTAGGACTTCGTGGTGCAACGTTAGCGCATCTGGCGCCAGATCAGGAGGTTGCGAGTTCAAATCACGTTGGGCTCACTATCGACCTGTTCATTTTAGTTATACCTTATCAGTAGGACTTAGTGACATGGTTTAATAACAGTGAAAATACACCGAATTGTGTGATGATACTGGAAGAAACTAATGTATTAGGGTTCGTTGACATTTTTAAAATTGCTGAACCACGTTAATGAGACACACTGCTGAGTCCAGAGCCCGCCAGGTAGAAACTTTACGCAGTGTGACGTATTTTCAAACACATTTAAGACTATTTGACAAACTTTGTTTAATGGCAAAATGAGATAGTCGTAGTTGGCCTTCAAATATTTTTGTAAAATGTATTTGAAGAAAATAATTTGACAGTGTGGCAGTTTTAAAGTATAAGGAGAAGGGGTTCTGCTGTATCCGCCTGAACAACACGCATGAATTATGAATTAAATAGTACACACTTTCTTGAAAGTGTCAGAAAATATGATTTAGGTTGCATGTAAAAAAATGCATGTACTCAGGTTGGATCGTAAATGTATGCTAACCCGGCCTGAGCGAAATCAATAGGACAAATAAATAGGAAAACATTTGTATATATATATATGTGTGTGTGTGTGTGTGTGTTTGTGCGTGTGCGTGCGTGTGTGACATAGGGCGTAAAGTGATTTCTGAGGATTGTAGAAGCCCTGAAACGTTGTGATTGGAAATGTGTTATCCAACGAAATTGAAAACCACCTGTGATTAAGTAACGAAAATTAGCATACAGCCAAACTTTTACAAGGTAGGTTACCACACAAAACGGATTACAGAGATTACACCCCATTCATACATTAAATAGGGGTTGGCACCCTCTTCTTGGAACATTGTAAACCTGCGCGTGAAGGAATTTATCATCACACGTTAGTAATCAGCATTAAAGAAAGCAATAAAAAGTTTGGCTTGGTAGTATCCGATAATTCCTACAGTTTCCTGAGAAATCACATGTTTAGTTGCAAAGTAGATTATTGGTTGCCTGGGAAGCAGGCAGCGTGTACCAACCAGTGTCGTACATGAAGTGTGAACTGATATCCTGGCTAATGTCCCTGTCCTATGACAACATGCTTGTAAGATTGTGGAAGGCTGAGAAGATACTGTGGAGAAGTGTCCCATTACATAAGATCCTGTTGTACCAAGTGGGGACCAGGTTTCCTGCCTACTAGCATTGCGTTGGTAGTGTACACAGACTAGACTATACCCTTTTAGAAGTGGTAAGGATGTAGTTGTTGCTCATGCAGAACCTCCCAGACGATGCTGAGAGCAACATCCATTGCACGCACAACTGATCAACATGATGCAGTAAAGTCTCTTCCAATTCGGGAGTTCGGCGTCTGATTGGAGCACCACAGTGGTCCCTGTCGGCGGTGAAGGTACCTTGTTCTCGGAGCCGTTGCGTAATTGTGGTGAAAAGAGTATGTGATTGTGTCGCACGTTGTTAACAACGCTCTTCATACAGTTGACGAGCTGCTCTTCCATCACCTTCATCTGAGCCATACACAAGGATCATGTCTGTGTATTCCGCAAACGTACACTCAACCGTGTTAATCGGAAACGCAAAGGCGCGTGAATGGGGCTCGAGGCAGGGTAGACGTCACGTGCCATCAGGTGGTTGTCTGACGTAATGTACTGCCCAACAAGTTGCATACTAACACAGCAAAATCCGCGACTTTGCTCTTTCCCTCAGCGGAAATGGACGCGTGATAGACCTGATTTGAAATGCTTGTAGCTCGGTAACAGCACGTTTCCGGACATGGGTTCCTATTCAAAAGATAGTCTACTCAGCCCCTTCGACAAGTCCTAGAAGTTTGTAAGGGAAATTTTCTAGCATGCTGTATAAACACCATAAATAATTACAGTTTCGAGAAACATTAGTTACAAAACACGCAAACTTACTGTTCGCTTCGTAATTATTTCTAAACACGTGGCGAGTCTTGGACGACAACTTCACTGATACGAAATTATATTCAAATAAAATACTTGCACCGTTTATTGAAACAAACCAATTGAAACTTGAGAACGTATGTAATACGTTGTTACTCGTACTTCATGATAATTAAGAAAATGGAGGACCAAAGAACACAAGTAACCCTTTTACGAAGTGGCAGACTCATGTTTATATTTCATTTTACTGAGGAAGACTGTTCTTAAATGGCGCCTACAACGAACTACATTTGATAACATATGAAAATACAAAAACAATTACTGCAGATATAATATTCCGACACCAACATCATGGAAGTCTCTCATATAGATGCATCATGTATACGAGAGCTCAATGCCATTCCCCGGGTAGAGGCGTTTCGCATAACCCTAATGTATGCGTACTCTACCGTATTATTAAAAAATATTTTTGAATACCCTGCTAAATAGCTAAAAAAAAACATAAATATTTTAACCATCGTTTAACTTGTACAGTATAATCCTTAATTCAGGGAACTAGTTTTTTCTATAGTAATCGTAAAGGTCACCAATACAACAACATACATCACGCAACAACCATCAGCTGAGATATTGTTTTGCAAGTGAAGACGTCTATTGTTTACATGCCGTGTAGGTTGGTCACAATGTCTATCAACAGTTACTCTATATATGGAATGTAGGATAGTCAGCTTCACAACAAACTAGTATGTTTTCATACCACCAACAAACCAACCAGAATGGTAAAATATTTCCTCGTTCTCCACACCATTTACTTAATTCCGCTTTTATATGGTACTATCACGTGTGGTTTAGCTATTCATGTCAACTCTCATTACTGAAAAGAGGTAGTTTTATAAAAGTGATCAGCCTGCATGTAGCTCGTGTGTGCTAGGAAGTGTTTGACTGCTGCGTGATGGAAGTCGGATAAGGAAATGCGTTGCATTGCAGTTGTGCAGTTGGTACTTACGCGGCCGTGCAAGGTAGGAGGTGCGCTAGCAGCATGAGAGAGAAGACGTAAGGTAAGTGACGTGGCTGAGGAGCCGTCGACCAATCCACGTCACACGCCGTACCTGATGAGTCGCACCCAAACCTGCACCACATCACAGAACACACTTAACATGATATATCCACCAACACCTGCACCACACCACACCACACACTTAAAATATCTCCACCCAAACCTACACCACATCACAGCACACAATCAACATGATATCTCCGCCCAAACCTGCAACACAGCACACCACACACTCAAAATATCTCCACCCAAACTTGCATCATATCACACCCCACACTCAACACGATATCTCCACCCAAACCTGCAAACACAGCACACAACACACTCAACATATCTCCACCCAAACTTGCATCACATCACACCCCACACTCAACATGATATCTCCACCCAAATTTGCATCACAGCACACCCCACACTCAACATGATATCTCCACCCAAAATTTGCATCACATCACACCCCAGACTCAACAAGATATCTTCACCCAAACCTGCACTACGTCACACCACACACTCAACATATCTCCACCCAAACTTGCATCACATCACACCCCACACTCAACATGATATCTCCACCCAAACTTGCATCACATCACACCCCAGACTCGACATGATATCTCCACCCAAACCTGCACCACATCACAGAACACACTCAACATTATATCTCCACCCAATCCTGCAACACATTCACCACACACTCAACATGATATCTTCACCCAAACCTGCACCACGTCACACCACACACTCAACATATCTCAACCCAAACCTGCATCACATCACACCCCACACTCAACATGATATATCCACCAAAACCTGCACCACATCACAGCACACATTCAACATGATAACTCAACCCATACCTGCACCACATCACACCCCATACTCAACATGATAACTCCACCCAAACCTGCACCACATCACAGAACACACTCAACATTATATCTCCACCCAAACCTGCAACACATTCACCACACACTCAACATGATATCTTCACCCAAACCTGCACCACGTCACACCACACACTCAACATATCTCAACAGAAAACCTGCATCACATCACACCCCACACTCAACATGATATATCCTCCAAAACCTGCACCACATCACAGCACACACTCAACATGATAACTCAACCCATACCTGCACCACATCACACCCCATTCTCAACATGATAACTCCACCCAAACCTGCACCACATTACAGAACACACTCAACATTATATCCCCACCCAAACCTGCAACACATTCACCACACACTCAACATGATATCTTCACCCAAACCTGCACCACGTCACACCACACACTCAACATATCTCAACCCAAACCTGCATCACATCACACCCCACACTCAAGATGATATATCCTCCAAAACCTGCACCACATCACAGCACACACTCAACATGATAACTCAACCCATACCTGCACCACATCACACCCCATTCTCAACATGATAACTCCACCCAAACCTGCACCACATCACAGAACACACTCAACATTATATCTCCACCCAAACCTGCAACACATTCACCACACACTCAACATGATATCTTCACCCAAACCTGCACCACGTCACACCACACACTCAACATATCTCAACCCAAACCTGCATCACATCACACCCCACACTCAACATGATATATCCTCCAAAACCTGCACACACATCACAGCACACACTCAACATGATAACTCAACCCATACCTGCACCACATCACACCCCATTCTCAACATGATAACTCCACCCAAACCTGCACCACATTACAGAACACACTCAACATTATATCCCCACCCAAACCTGCAACACATTCACCACACACTCAACATGATATCTTCACCCAAACCTGCACCACGTCACACCACACACTCAACATATCTCAACCCAAACCTGCATCACATCACACCCCACACTCAACATGATATATCCTCCAAAACCTGCACCACATCACAGCACACACTCAACATGATAACTCAACCCATACCTGCACCACATCACACCCCATTCTCAACATGATAACTCCACCCAAACCTGCACCACATTACAGAACACACTCAACATTATATCTCCACCCAAACCTGCAACACATT